ATAGAATAGAATAGAATAGAATAGAATAGAATAGAATAGAATAGAATTCTTTATTGGACAAGCATGACTGAACACACAAGGAATTTGTGTGTTCAATCACACTTCAATTCAATTCAGTCACACAAATCAATTCTACTTTACTGGACTACCAGAAACAAAAGCAGTTTCTATGCTAGCTCTCATTGCAGATTTCATACGTTCAGATCAAAAACCAGTTAGACAGTGTCATGAATATTGCTTGCATGCAGATTTCATTCGTTCTTATAATCCACATCCCTGAGAGTAAGAGATGTCTTTCAGTCACCAACAGCAGTAGCCCCCAACCTTTTGGGCACCAGGGACCACCATAGAGAAATATTTTTCTGTGGAATGGAGTTGGTTTTGCATGCTGCCTGCCTTCTGCGGATGGGATTTCACTTGTTTGCACAGCTTGGTTGTTGGTATGCCGTAGACCAGTGTCGGTCCATGGACTGGGAGTTGGGGATCCCTGACCTACAGGATCAGATTAGCCCAGTCTGATATTGATACAGGGAAAAAAATTGCTATCAGAAAATTGATATAGAAAAAAAAGTTTTCATTAAAAAGGGATGGGGAAAGAAGGACAGAGAGAGGCTGGAAAATGGTACTTCCATTATTTCTAGAAGTCTCTGAACTCTGGAAATGTCCAAGAAGCTGGGACCATCCAGGAAAGTGAAACACAGTCTCATTTGCTTCAAGAAACCTTTATTTATGCACATAGAATTTGTGCTACGGGGGGATTTGCAGTAAATATTTTACTTCTGTTTTATGGGTGATTGCACAGTAAGCCAGATGTTTACAGTTTTATTGTCATTACTTATTTATTTAAATTTATTGGCCACTCATCTCTAGAGGACTTTGGATAGCAAGAGTAATGATTATTTTTTCTCTTTTGCTGTTTTATGTTTATTTTTTTTTGTACAAGTTATGAATGGAGTTATATTACTATATATAATAAATATTACATAACAGCTATATGATATGACATGATATATAATAAATAACGTGTTTCTCCAACAATACGGCCTCCCCCAATAGGAAGTCCCAGCATGTTTTATAGGCATGAAATGAAATTAAGCCCCTCCCCCCAAATTAAGCCCTATATTAACACATGCAAAATGGGGGGGGATGGCGGGGGGCTTGCCATTAGAAAGTACTTTTGTTGCACACTCGGATATGGTGCTGCCTGCATTGACTTCAGCGTTGGCAGGGCACTTCATATCAGGAGACCTTCCGCCACTGTTGCTTTCCCTTCTCCCCATGCTGCCGCGGTGTTTGGAGCAATGCCACGGCATTTGGCGTAGCCACGCAGCATTTTGTATAGCCATGCATGGCCAGCCAGGGTTCCTCCCTGCAACCGAAGCCCGGCAGAGACACTCGGCTTCAGGCGCTCCTGTCGCCGCCTTCCTGGGCATCGTTCGAAGGCAAAGCCCATTCTTTTAAAAACGACACCCTACTACCGGTACGACAAAGCCTCCCCTGCCTGAGAGGGCAGTCCAACCCTACATGGGGAGGCGAATCTCCCAGGGCTGAGGCGCAGGATCAGCCCACCCCGGGAGAAGCGCCCAGCTGCCATTCCTGCCTGGCGCTGGGCAGAGTGCGAAAAGCTTCACCTGGGGCACTCAGTGCAGCTGACAGGCAGGCCCTCCTGCCCGGTGGCGGAGCTCTGGCCAAGGCAGTGAGCACCTCCCTGCCAGGCCCTCTGCTCATCCTGCCAGGGCCACGCCAGAGCTGGGTGGGCTGGGCAAAGCCAGGAAAGTGAGCCACGGGTGCGCACCTTCCTACCAAGCGAAAGAGCCGGGCTGACCTGAGCTTGGCTTCCCAAGTCCCTCCAGCCTGACCCCAAATGGGCCACCAGGAGAGGCTGCCCAAGGCAGTGATAGTGCCCACCCATCCATGGACAGGGAGGCAAGGTGATGGCCCATGCCGCATCCTCTTCCCAGCTGAGCCCTACTGAGTGAGTGCCTCTGCCCAATGCCATGCCCCTGCAGCATTTGGAGCTGCTGGCGCATTTGAAGATGCATGGGGATGGGGATGGGCTGGGTGAGAGGTGGAAAGGACAGGTGGCTTCATGCTCTCTCTGCCAGACCTGCCGGCCAGGAAAGCAGCGCTGCCGTCGCCTTGCCTCCCTGTCCACAGACGGGTGGGTGCTATCACTGCTTCAGGCAGCCTCTCCCGGTGGCCCCTTCAGCGACAGGAGCGCCTGAAGCCGAGTGTCTCTGCCAGGCTCCGGTTGCAGGGAGGAGTCCTGGCTGGCCGTGTGTGGCTGCACCAAACACTGCATGGCTACTCCAAACGCCGTAGCATTGCTCTAAATGCCACAGCAGCACAGGGAGAAAGGAAAGCAATGGTGGCGGAAGGTCTCCCAATACGAAGTGCCCCACCAACACCGAGGTCAACATCCAAGCCGTCACCGCCCACCCGCCCGAGGATGCAAGGGGGGAATTAAGTCAGCCCTGAAAAGATGGCCTAGCCATTTTTGGGGGGCTCAAAAAAAAAAAAGACCTGGCCTTATTATATGAGAAGCACAGTATTACATAACATACATAAAATATAATATATATGCAGGGTATGTCTGCAACATGTCATGGTTCATCTCTGATGATTAACAAGTCAAAATAATGTTAATAATACAGCCTTCTGTTTACAATCTAGATTTGGTGAACAGAAGATGATATAATATCATAAATATCATAATTACTATACTATACTATACATTATATTATATTATACAACTAGCTTGATACCCGTGCTTCACTATGAATCTGTGGTCAGGCTTAGTTTTGGGGGAAGAAAATAAGGGGGGAAAATTATGCCTCTGCCTACCAGCATCCATCGGTATTCATCTGGCTAGCGTCCTGTCAGTGTGTGAAAGAATTGAGTGCTGTTTGGAAACTGAAACAGTATTTGCTGTGTGAGAAAGAAGGAGACAGCAAGGAGCCTGGCTGTGGCTTAGCTCAATTGTTCTGTATTAAAGCTGCCTGGTGCTCTGAAACTGAAACTGAAACTCCTCTCCTTTGCTTGTGTTTTGCATTTGGAACAGATTTCTTTTCAGGTGGGGACAGGCAGTGATGGGATTCAAATTTTTTTACTACTGGTTCTGTGGGCGTGGCTTGGTGGGCAGGGCAGGGGAAGGATACTGTAAAATCTCCAGTCAGAGGTGGTATTTACTAGTTCTCTGAACTACTCAAATTTTCCGCTACCAGTTCTCTAGAACTGGTCAGAACCTGCTGAATACCACCTCTGGGGAGGGGGAGTAGAACTGCTTAGCATAAGAGTGTGTTAATAATAATATAAGAAATACTAATGCTCTGATTGTCATATCGAGAAATCATTTCTTAGTGAGCACCTAGAAGCCAAGAGGAACATATGTACCAAACTTGTAGGCTTTACAGTTCTGGAGATTTTGTGATGATGCATGAGTGGTATTTTGCTTTTATATACTGTATATAGATACATTGTACTAACTTACCAAAAATTATGATATTATATTAAATATAATATAATATAATGTAATATAATATAATATATTTATTATATTGTAATATATTATATCTTCTGTTCCCCAGATCTCTAGATTCTAAACAGAAGGCTATATTATTAACATTTTAACTTGTTAGTCATCAGAGAGACAACATGAAATCTGGCAGATATATATCTCTTGCATACAGGCATTAGAATATCAGTAAGATACCCTTTGGAGGTCAGATAGTGCCAGCAAGAACTACCAAACCACTATCCTAAGGCAAGAGGTGACACCAAATTGGAAAAATCAGACAGCTTCTTAGGGTTTCTAGTCGTTCATCCTTATATGTAGCTCTAACTTCAGATCCCACGTTTCCACACTACAGAGGAATTCTTGGACAGTTATAGTACCCAAGTGACATCACAAAGAGATTGAAGAGAGAAGTTTGGACAAATTTGGACAAGAAAGATTCGATAGACATATTTATTGCCCATTCTTTGGAAAGTAGATTTACCGGTAATAAGCCTCAAAGACGTTGTCTGTGGAAACACCGAACATTGATGAAATCTGATTCTTTCCTTCCCTGAAAAGATATTTTAGAAAGAAATGGTTAGGTAGCACAAGTAGGGTAATTATCATATTCTTTCCCCACATCATCAAATACTGAGTATATTATGAAGGTATTATTTTCAAAAGTCATTTCAAATGGCTTAGTCTCTAAATAGTTGATCACTTGAAGCTGAAGTATTTTGCAATGCAATCCTATACACATCTAATCAGAAATCAGTTTCCTTTATTTTTTTTAAAAAATACTTATATAATATTCAAAATGGAAACATTTTATTCAAGATAGCATTCTTTTTTATTCTTTATCCTTATTGTTTTATCTTTCAGTGAATAATATACAGTATTTCAAGGGATTATTTCTACTAAATTTATTTAAAAGTTTGTTCAAGAGAAAAAAAGGTACTCTTATTTTCACTGTTACTGATTCTTGAAGTAGAGCCAATCTCTGATCTAAAAGTTTAGATTGACACACAAGGGCTTGACAAGGTTCCTCCTCCAAGGAGGTGCTCTGCCTAGAACAGTGAGAAGCTCTGGTTCAGAATTTAACTAGAATGAAACTCGGTGAATCTCTGTATCAAAACAAATTGAGTCACTCAATGTCAGGTTTCCAAGTGATAATTCCCTTTTCAAAAAGAAGCTTGCAAAGTCCATTTTCCAAAGTCCATTTTCTTTTCTTTAGGTATACATCAAATTGGCAAAGTCTATTGTAATTTCAAATCTGACCCCACCCTGGAATTACACCAAATAATATGAAAATTAGAAATGTCCCACCAAAATCACATTCCCCAATCAACATTCAGTCCAGTACCTCCGGTGACTCCAAATTCCACCTTCAGCCATTTGCAGGGACACTGCCTATTCCCACAAGAAAGAATGTCACTAGCCAAAACATCCTTCACTATCTACTTCCTCCTCCCATCTGTTGAAATGTGACGAGCCCAACATCCCCCTTACAGGGAAAAAGAAAAGAGAAAGGATAGCAAATACCATAATACTATACTAATTAGAATGGCTACACATATGTCAACTTTTGGACACTCAAATTATTTCAGACAATTTTAATCAGGTTTTCAGATAAGTAAAGATGTACTTTTTTACATTAATTTAGAAAGCCAAAGTGATCAGGCCACAGAATGGGGCAACTCGCCATAGCCAACTAACTGCAACCAATTCACTGTGAAACAGCTCATCGTGGTCAAGTTGCCGCAAGACAACTCACTGTGGAGCAATTCAACAAATACAAAAGTTAATTAATTAATTTTAATTTTAGTTAATTAATTTTGATGGAACTGTGGCCAATAATAATAAAATAAAGAAAGTCAATCCAGAAATACAAGAATTACAATAATTTTGACAAAAGCATTGTCACTAATAATAAATAACTGAATGAAACTGTTAACACAGTGTTGAATTGTCCTTTGGTGAGTTGTTCCATGGCGAGTTGGCCATGGTGAGTTGGCAGCAGTGAATTTTCCTAGACCCTCAGATCAATTTTCAGTTCAGTAAAAGTTGCAACACTGAATTGAAGGTTAAGAGTAGTCTAACATATGAATAAATGAATAAGTTAATGTTTTAGTAAATATGCTATATACAAAATTACATACAAAATATTTTATTTCTTGATTCTTTTTTGTTTGGAAATGTTATTGCATTTGTATATTCTTTTGGTCTCCTTTTTATTTATTTCAGTTTATGTCTTTCTGTTGTGATCTTAAATCTTTTAAAAGCCATCTTGAGAAAGCAGGATAATGAAAAATACTATTTTCTGATTGTTTTCGAATATGATTAAAGTAACTGGACAGTTCTTTTTAAAGGAATTCAAAAATTGGAAGAACGTGAAGACTGAGGTAGAGATAAATGATGAGTGGAGATTCATTGTTTCATTTCCTCCAGATGGATTTCTTTAATTTGGAGAGAACAATAGAAAAGACATAGTATACTTATGCTGAATGACGATGATGTTTCTACTAAGTGAATAAAATATGACAATGATACATTCAGTCTTCTAGCATGGGAGAAAAAAATGATTTTGAAAAAGAGCAAATTGTTTTTATCTATATGCTTTTGTGTGATATTTCTTTAAAAAAATCTTCCTACCTCACTGCATCAGGCAAATATTTCATTCTCGGATACAAAACATCAGAGAAAATCTTTAGGGTATAATATTGAGACTTTGGACTTGATTTTGCCAGGTAGAGATTGGCAAATTCTGTATTTCCATAAAGATCTTAAAATGAAGGGAAACAGAAAGGAGTATTAAGATTATTGCCAACACAAAAAAGAAAATTTAAAACTACTGTATATTACTCAATATACTATTTCTTATATTTTGAATAAAAACAAATCCAATGGGTTATTAAGAATGATTGTTAATGCTTCTGAATGTTAGTGTTAAGCGAATATGTGTGAGAATATTGTAGACAGCAAAGAAAACAAATCGATCATTGAATAAAGTAACCCAGAGTTTTCACTTAAAGAGCAAATGATCAGGCTTAAATTCTCCTACTTTGGACACATTATTAAAAGACTGGAAAAGGTGAGAGGAAAGAGAAGATGACCAGCAGCAAGGTAGATGAACTCAGTTACAGTGGTAATGGGTAACGGGCATTGGAAAATATGCAGATTTTCCCCCTGAAGAAAATCTATGTTTGTGGTCTTCAGTGATTTATGGTATGTAATCATTCACCCAAAATGTTTCAAATCATGCTTTCTATTATAAAACCTCAAACAATCTTAAAGTGCCACACTTTAAAAAAACAATTAATAGGACATCAAAAAGGCCAAGTCATTCTTAAATACTACAAATGGGTTCTTGGGGCTATATTGATTACCCAAAATTGTTTCATTAAGCAATTTAATCAACGTACTATCTCAACAAACCTACCACGCCAGGAAAAAAATCCAATGCCAAACCACAACCTAAAGACAAAGAAATCCCCAGCAATGAACCACAAGACTCCTCACATGCCTTATATTATGGGTGTTATTGCCTTATGTTATTAGTTATTACACTTGAGAATAAAAAGAGCCAAACTGAAGCCATTTTGTGTCTGCAGTCTGAACTTTTAAAAGCTCAGAACAGTTATGAAATGTGTTTTTGCTAGACAAATATGTTAGATTGCAAAACCGTGTACTTGGCTTAAGTTAGAGATATGTTCCAGGGTGCTTTGACATTATATGGTCACATTGAGAGAAATTAATGACCTTATTATAGCCTTCAGGTATTTGCATAACAGGACATCTGGAGATAAATTTGAATAAAGAATGTTGATAATCATCCAATATCAAGTGGGGGAATTTTTGTGGAAAGACCCACAACCTTCCCATGGGATTCTGTGTATTTTTGATTTGGAAAACAAGATGTGTTATGTAACTGTTTATATAACTATATTTGGATATAAATATGTGTTCTTTTTGGAAAAAAGGCATCTCCTTTTCCTCATACTATGAACAGTATGTGTTAAAGGTTGATCAATACTGCAGTATCTTAAATAAAAGCCAGTTACATGTTTCAGCATATCAAGTGTGTTCTTTCATTTCTGCTCTTATTTATAACACCTTATATGCAATGAAACTCTAAAGGATAATGAACATTCCACCAAATGTTCTCTATGTGACAACTATGCTCACCATGGCTGCTTGGGATTACCCAAGCAAATGACTCAATTCCTAGAATCATCCAACTATGTATTTCAATATTTCTGCCCATCATGCAGACCCAAACTGAACAAATATATTGCCCTGGTTGAAAGAATTGATACCATAGAAACAAGAATAACATCCCTTGACACCATAGTAGCATCTCTGAAAGATTAACTAACTTTGAAAAAAAACAACACAACACAAAAACCTGAACATCCAATAGTTACAAACCACATCTCTACCGAACAACCGCAACCCAATCCACAAAAAACCACAAATCCAACAAATAATGATATCCCAATCCTCATCAGAGAAGCTGTCGAGCGCAAACGGAAGTGTCCAAACGCCATCTTATTTGGACTAGAGGACATCAATGACAATGATGACATCACAATTGTTCTCAACATCATCAGTGATGATCAAGCATCAAGCATCTCCCCTGATAAAATACTTGACAGTTCCCGCATTGGCCCAGAGTTCAAAAACAGAAGGTGGCCCCATGCTTCTGCAGGGTCATTTGCAAAAATGTATCTAGCAAACATAAATTCATTTATACTATAAATTCAGTCACCAAAAGGAACACCCACCATAAGAACCTCTGTTCTTGCCCTGACCTAACCTTATAGCAACATCTCTGCTCCCATGAACTCTGCACAGAACTCAAAAAACATCTAGACATTGGAGAGAAGGACCTGTACATTGACCACCATGCTGACTGTATCAAAAGTAAGTCACACAACCTTCAACTCAGCATCCAACCCTACTTCAACCAATCCACCATCACCCAAGACTTGGCATGCATGCCCCTAACTACCTCAATTCCAACTACAACTAACCTTAAATGCAAGCTACTCAATGCAAGAAGCCTTGTGAATAAAATGTCTGAATTTCTCCTCTTACTAAATACGGCTAAATTCAACATTATATTTGTCTGTGAAACATGGCTCAACACATCTCTCCCTGATTCCATTACCACAGTAAGAGACTATCATGTTTACCAATCAGATCATGAAATCTGTAGAGGAGATGGTGTTGCTATCTTCTATAAAAAGTCCTTACATCTAAAAAACATCCAAGTTACCCAGGAGCTTGCTCTTTCTGAGACCATTGTCTGTGAACTGTCCTTAAAAATCACATTTCAATTCTTACTATGTTACAGAGCCCCAGATTATGACATTGAACATGTAAACAAGCTAAATTCACTACTAACATGGGCAACATCCCACCTACACACTTTTATCTTTCTTGGTTACTTCAATCTACCTCATATTAACTGGACCCTAAATGAATATAAAAATGAACCCATACATGCAACCTTCTACAATGCTGTAACAAATATGGGACTAGAACAACTAGTAACCAACAATACTAGACTTAACAACTGCCTCAATCTCAGCTTCTGCAATAGTTTGAATTCAATTTACAGAATACAAATTAAAGAATCCTTTTCCAACTGTGACCACAGTTGACTTTTGTCTCAACATACAGACACAACTACAATGATCTAATACATATCGATTTTACAGAAGACTATGTTGAAAAAGCACTACCCGATCTAAAACCATCTCTATCTATTGGAACGGATGGAATTTGTGCCTACTTTTTAAAAAAGCTATCCACTGCCATAGCCAAACCTCCAAGCATAATCTTTGAAAAATCCTTCAGGACCAGCTCCTTGCCAAACCTATGGTCACAAGCCACGGTCATCCCCATCTTCAAAAAGGGAGACACCAGCCTAGTTGAAAATTACAGACCAATCTCTTTATGCTGCGTCACCTGTAAAGTCATGAAAATAATTATTAACCAATCCAATATCCTCTACTTCGAGACAAACAACCTACTCTCTGATAAACAATTTGGTTTCAGAAAAAAAACTATCTTGTAATCTGCAACTGTTACACTGCAAAAACATATGGACTACACAACTCGATCAGGGCAAAGCAATAGGCGCAATTTACATAAACTTCTGTAAAGCCTTTGATTCAGTGGTGCACAACAAACTATTCCTAAAACTAAGGTCTTATGGTATCTCTGGATACCTGCATAACTGGATAGAAGCATTCCTGTCAAACAGACAACAAATGGTCAAAATTGGGAGCGTCCTATCAAATTCTGTACCTGTCAACAGTGGTGTCCCCCAAGGCAGTGTTCTAGGACCCACTCTCTTCATACTCTACATAAACGACCTCTGTGATCATATTAAGAGCAACTGTGTTCTTTTCGCTGATGATGTAAAGATATTCAACACCACCGACAAAACTGCGACCCTTCGAAAAGACCTAGACTATGTGTCAGAATGGTCAAACAAATGGCAACTTCAAATCTCAACAAATCAATGCTCTGTCTTACATATTGGCAAAAAAATCAGAAAATAAAATACAAGCTGAATAGCCAAAACCTTGTTGATGACCCAAACTTTGTCAAGGACCTTGGAGTAATCATCTCTAATGATCTAAGTGCTAGAGCCCACTGTAACTACATAGCCAAAAAGGCATTAAGAGTTGTTAACCTAATCCTGCGTAGCTTCTTCTCTAGTAATAACACACTACTAACTAAAGCATACAAAACATTTGCTAGACCAATACTCGAATACAGCTCATCAGTCTGGAACCCACATTACGTAAATAATATTAACCCAGTTGAGAAAGTCCAGAAATATTTCACAAGAAGAGTTCTCCACTCCTCTACTTGTTGCAGAATACCTTATGCCACCAGACTTGAAATTTTAGACCTAGAAAACCTAGAACTATGCTGCCTTCAGTTAGATCTAAGTATAGTACATAAAATTATATATTGCAATATCCTACCTGTCAATGAATACTTCAGCTTCAACCATAACAATACAAGAGCACACAATAGAAACAAACTCAAGGTAAACCACACCAAGCTTGATTCAGGAAATATGACTTCAGCAACAGAGTGATCAATGTCTGAAATACTCTACCTGACTCTGTGGTTTCTTCCCCTAACCTCAAAAACTTAGACTATCTACTATTGACCTCACCCCTTTCCTAAGAGGTCTGTAGGGGGCATGCATATGTGCACCAACGTGCCTACCATCCCTGTCCTATTGTGTTTTTTTTCTTATATGTATCCATTTCATTTATTCATAACTAGGTGTATACTTACACCTGTTATGTTATTATCGTTTGACAAAATAAAAAATAAAATAAATGCACAGGAGGTATCCAGAGCCTCCAAAACCTATGTGAGAACAGGATATGCTTTTGCTTGTGCATCTTGGGGCACAGGATCAGGTGGGCTTTTTGAGTGGTAATAGTGGGGCTAAGGACTGAAGTTGAGCTCTGGGCCAGGGCCTCAACTTCAGGCCCAGCCTTGAGGCTGCCCTCTATTGCTGCTCTTCATAGTGACCTAGATTGGCACTGGGTGTGAGAGATAATTGTTTCTCTTTTGCTTGGGAATGGGCTTGTGACACATAAACCCCAAAGGATTTGTCATTCATGGTATAGATTAATAGGTAATTAATTATAAATAATTCCAGGCACTTTTGCTTCCAACCTAGTTACCTCTATCATCCTTCTGTTCCATTTTCAGAAGATTTAAAGTCACACAACAGTTCAGCAGCGTCTCCATTCCAGTGAGACTGGTGTTTAAACGTTCAGCAATAATTGCTAAGGAGAGAGATTCACCCGACTCTCTCAGCAAGTCAAAAATTCCAAATTCACAGGAAGTAAATATTATCTGAAAAGAAATGGAGAGATGTACCAACAGGAGAAAGTTTGGAAAAGGATGATGTTCCTTTAATTATTTAATTTTGTCTCCTTCAAAATATATATAAAATATCTGGACAGCTTATGAACAAGGATGACGAAAGTCAATAATTCTAAAACATTTACAAAGGAAAAGAGACTAATTAGATGTGGGGTTTTTTTTATCTAGAAGCCCTCTTCAGGATAGAGAATGCATGCCTTTTCCAGTCCTGTCCCTTCTTAATGTCTGCTTGCTCATCTAGGAGGTCTGCAAGAGGAAGTCTGTCTTTCCTGAGCATAAGTGCAGCTTCTTATGTAATTTGGGATACAGGTAATCCTCAAGTTACCACAGTTAGCAATCAAAATTACACCATAACGCCCCCCCCAGTACTGACACAGTCCCAAAGTTATGAATGTTGCAGCGCTATAGCAGTTGTTCACACTTATGAGTGACCACAAAGGCACTGCAACATTTGCTCTGCCTATTCCCCCCTCCCATACCAGGGCTGGGTCTTCACAGGAACTGGGCCTCTGGAGACTCACTTACCTTGCAACGATCTAGCGACCCATCAGTTTCTTTGCCTGCTTCGATGCATTTGAAGAGAACAGAGGCCTAAAGTAGTACGAGATCATGCAAGATCAGTAATGCAAGATCTCTTGCTACTGATCTCCAGATCTTTCCTCCATTTGCAAAGCCTTTTGCTGTGGATCTCATCCAGGCCTCTGGCCTAAAGTACTGTAGTGCAAGATCACATGAGATCAGTAGCTTTTTGCACCAAGACTGGAAGCTTCTGGGGGCCGTGATCTTGCACCAGATAAATGGCCCCCAGAAGCTTCCAATCTCAGCGCAAAAAAACATTTGCAAGCTTAAAGCAATGCGATTTTGCTGTTCCATAATCTTGTTGGCTTGCAAATGCTTTTTGTGCTGAGACTGCAAGCAGGCAAAAAAACCACAGCAGAGAGGCTGGAGAAGAGACAGCTTACTAGATCTTCACAAATTAAATGGCAGGTTGGGGTGGGAGCAATTGTGGGGACCCCAGGGAGGGAGCATGAGGGGGAGGCTTTGGTAGTCTGAAGCATGTGGCCTGTTCCATCACTAGGACCTCCATGGCCTTCCCCACCCTGAAATATCTCATGTACACTTAACGACCTGCACATTCGATTAGTGAATGTGTGAGTGAAAGCAGGGAGTGATCATGTTCATTTGACATGATTCACTCCAAAGAATTCTTGAGTTACAAATGTAATTGGCAGGTTTCATTACATTCATAATTCAAGGATTACCTGTATTTGTTTTGAGTGCCAGATCACACGGAGAACTGTATTCATGTTCAAGAAAATATTAGAACGCCATTCTTGTTGACTTCCCAGGTGAATGCAAAGAGAGTAGAGGGAATAAATAGCTGTAGCTGTTGAGCAAGAGGTAAAAGAGCATGTACAACATTTTTCCCCATGTAGCAGCCATGTTTCTTTTTTAAAAAAACCACTACTGGGTTTTCATAGACTAAATCTAGTAGTATGGTCACCAAAAAGAAAAGATTAAGGAAAATGTTTCTTTCAAGTTCTGAACAGATTTCTTTTGTTCAAAAAAGTAGAAAAGCCATTGGCCAAAATTAAAGATTTTCCCATCAAATTTTAAAACACAATCTACAGTATAGTACTACGAGATTTTATAATAAATGTAATATAATCTCTTTATTTGTGATGTTCCAATCTGATTTCCTTCAATTGCAAATTGGCTAGCCTTATAAACTGCTATAATAAATAATAAATAAATAATGAACAAAGTAACATTTCCAAAGCAAAATGAGCAAAAAGAATGATCTTATAAGCAAAATGAAAAAACCGATTCAGAGTCTTTATACTTTAAGTAAATTAATTTGTAATGGAGCATAAGCTGTATGATTTGGAGGTTTTTTCATATCTATAAGACTCCACAGAAAGTTGTACATTTTTAATGCCATTATTTACTGTGTTCACCCTACCTTTGTAACCATAAATGAATGTTGATGCTGAAATAATATTTTAATATTTTCTTTTTCCTCTGGTGAACTCATTGTTCTTCACTTCTCTGTCAAACACACAAGAAAATTATTTCATTCATTCACTCACTCATTTATAATACTCTTATACCATTGCAATCTAAAGAAATTCCCATTGGTTACAGTATAAAACACAAAAAAAATATAAATAAATTCATCAACCCATTTCAGTGTCTCTAGTTATACAATAGGTAAATAATCTGACAATGTTTACCTAGTAAAATTCCCACTTTTCAGCCCATTTTAACCACTGTCTTAAAATCCTGCAGGGGAAACCCCATCTAGATATCCAAGGGAATCTGTTCCACAGAACATAACAGAAAATCATTGGCTCCTGGCTCTTCCTGCCCCATAACCGCATATTTCACATAGGAAAGTACCTTCCACATCCTTGTGGAAGGTGACAGGTTTTACCCAGGGGTGGGTTTCAAATTTCTTATCAACCGGCTCTGTGGGTGTGGCTTGGTGTCATGTGACTGAATGGACATGGCTTGCTGACTGGGCATGGCTTGGTGGTCATGTGACTGGGTGGGCACAGCTTGTATGTAAATATTATAAATATTTATGTAAATATTGAATTTTTTATTTTAAAAAAAGAGCAACTTTTACCCCAAAGCAGGCAGGCAGATTGAGTTGCTCACAGAATCACAGATTAACTTAATCATAGATTAACTTATCTATCTGCAATCAGCTACCTGAGTCTGCACTGAAAAGCTTCAGTCCTAAGAAAGGTTCAGTTCTGCTTTTAGATTAGCTAGAAATCTATTCTAGCTAATCTAAACCTCCTGGCAGAGCAGAACAGTTGATGGTCAGGGGAAAAAAGAGGAAAAATAGCAATTTACCAAACCAGGCAAGTTGGATGGCTCACATGGCAGGTAAGGAGTAAGCGGGAGGGAAAGGGAGGGGCCAGCCAGTAGAATGAATTACCGGTTCTCCGAACTGGGGACAATCGTGTGTGCAGCATTTGCAAGAAATCATCAGCTGTGCTGCCTGGACAGTTGACAAGTGCTGCGCTCAGGTGCCCAGCATTTGAAAATCCTCTTGTTTCCTGCTTTTTCAACTTCACCTGTGCCACGCAAAGCAGCTGAGGAGGGAAAAGCAGGAATAAAGGACAGCCTAGAGCCCAGGCAGGCGGGTGGGCCAAAGGCTGAACCGGTTCGGTGTCAGCTGCTCTTTTCAGCTACAGGTTCTATAGAACCGAGCTGAACTGGTAGCTTCCTACCCCTGGTTTTATCTGAAGCAGTACTTGCTCTGATTTTGCTCAGAATCACCCTATGCAGTAAGCTTCAGTGAATAAAGGGTGATTAATCAAAGTCACCCAGTGAACTTTCTTCACTAAACATGAATCTCGCCTGTTCTATTACAACATATTAACAACCAAGCCCATCAACTACATGTACTATGTCAGTACACTACTACTTTCCACTGACCAGTGGTGGGATTCAAACATTTTTACTACCAGTTCTGTGGGCATGGCTTGGTGGGCATGGCAGGGGAAGGATACTGTAAAATCTCCATTCCCACCAGAGGTGATATTCAGCAGGTTCTGACCACTTCTGGAGAATCGGTAGCAGAAATTTTGAGTAGTTCAGAAAACCAGCAAACACCACCTCTGACTGGAGATTTTACAGTATCCTTCCCCTACCATGCTCACCAAGCCATGCCCACAGAACCAGTACTAAAAAAAATTGAATCCCCCACTGATTCCCACCCCACTCCAGGGGAAGGATATGGCAAAATCTCCATTCTCACCCTACGTCAGGGGAAGGTTTCTGAAAAATCCCATTCCCTCCCCACCCCACTAACCTGCTTTCCAGCTCCATTCTCCTGTGCAGGGCAACAAAAGAAGACCCAGCAGGGGCCTTGGGAGGCAGAGAAAAGATGGAGGCAGGACCACTCAGAGGTGGTATTTTCCAGTTCTCCAAACTACTCAAAATTTCCGCTACTGGTTCTCCAGAACTGATCAGAACCTGCTGAATACCACCTCTGCCACTGACCCTTTTCAGTTCTGCCTGCTCTGCTTAGCATATTGTCACTGATTTATCACAATACCTTTATCTTCTGTCCTTCAGATTCCAGGGAAGAATTGGGAAAGTTTCTTCTCAGAAACAGCTTTTTGTAGTCTCCATTGCTTGATAAACAGGTTAAAATATGCACACCCCCTATCTTCAGAAGAGGTTGGTTAGGTTGCATTTTTTAAATTATTTTGAGGCAAGGGACAAAAACAATTTACTACATTTTCCCCCTTGAGATGGGGAGATGGGAAGTGAAAAGAGGAGATAGCAATCTTCTCAGTTTCTCCTTGAACGCGTTTATGACTTTGATAAATAGCTTAGATACGTACACACAAAAACCATTTTCTTTGGACTGATTTGTTTTTTTTTTTTTTAAACAAGTTTTATTGATTTTTCAAGACAAACAAAACATATATAACCTCCTTTCCAAGAACTACCCATAAACTTCAACAAGACAAACAAAGCATTATTCTTTAAAACATGGTTCCACATTATCACACTTGAAGCAAAACATTGGAGAAAAAAAAAAAAACCTCCTTAGTTATCATTTATACATATCTTTTCCCAATTTCTCTCCCTTTAATTTCATTTCTCCAAGATTTTATTAATTTAAAATCAAACATAATCCACACACTAAACATAAAACATAAAACTTCTTTGAAAAGTGACTTGGCCCCAGGTTACATCTTTTTTGACAGACCTAAATCAAATTCATGCCCATCTTATATACCCTTCATATCTTATTAACCATTTTGTATTTTCTATATAACTTCTCCCATCTTTTCACTCTCTTAATTATATTTTATTTATTTCATCTTATTTCAAAGTCATTATACTTATGTCTTTTGTCCGTTCTTTAGTAAACATCTATGTATCTCTTCCCTTTAACCAAAAAATTTCCCCTGTAATCGCTTTTGAAGTATGACGCCTTCTCCTAAAATAAAACTTAAAATAATACATAATTTCCATTCTGATTCTGCTTAGTACCTTCTACATATTAAATCTTAAAATGAAAGAATAACAAACTTATAGTATAATTAAATATATAATTTCTATTCTAATTCTAGTTCTAATAAGTACATTGTTTTAGAATAGAAAAAATAAAATACTAAAGTTATAATAATATTAAAACACTAACAAATTAAACTTTAACTAAGCATTAATTATTTAACAGATCTCCTAATATTTAATCAAATATCAACATCCATCATTATTAAACATTAATATTTCATTAAATATTCCAATAAACTGTTCCAAATACAAATACTACAATACTATCTTATGCACTCTTGCAGAATCTTCTTTAATTATAAGCTATCTATCATCCTTCATCTCTAAAGAAAAAACTTTTTTTAAAAAAATCTTGTCCTAACCCGTGGCTTTTTTTTTCTTTTTCCCTCCCTTTCTTCTCCAATCTGGTCTTTTTGCCCCCTCCTCTCCTCTCCCCCTTTTTAAGTTTCCCTCTCTGTTGTAATTCTATTTTCAGTTGCTTTCTAACATTGTACCTTCTTTTCATCCTATTTTTCTTTTTCTTGGTTGTTTTATTAAATCTTAAATTCTCCTTTTCCCTTCCTTCCTTCCCATTTTCTTTCTTAATCAAACTTTTTAGTCCATTAAAGATGGCTTCTTCCTTTTCTTCTTCTTCTTCTCCTTCTCCTTCCTCCAGTGTTTGCTGGTACGTAGAAACCGCCATTTCTAAAAAGTGGAAGGCAGCTCCCAAAGAATCCTTGCCACTTTGTTGTCTTTCTTTTAATTTTTCATATTCCATTTTCAGTTCATCAACCGGTGGTACCATTATAAGTTCTTTTTTTAAAAAAAACAACAACAACAACCCAGATGCTTTCAATCTTGAAGTAATTTCCAAATGTCAGAGTTATCAAACAATCCAAACAAGCAAAACTTTTTTCCTCTTCTTCTCTTTACAGTTTTTTCTCCAGAGGCAAAATCCCAGATATATTTTAAAAGCCGTATTTCCATTAATTAATGGTCTTGAAATCTTCAAGGCGTCTCCTCCAGCAAAGTTTAGAAATAAAAGTTTTTTTTTTTTAGTCCTCCCCTTCCCACTTATAACAAAGAGCTTATTTTTACCTTTAGAGAGCAGGTTTTTCTGTGCTCCTTTGCTTTCTCCGTAGGGAGGGGTAGTGAGCTTTCCTTCAGCACTTTCGCCGATGTTACAAATTCTTTTGGAAACAAATGTATCAATCCAAAGTCAGGTTTCCAGGGTGTTTTAAAAGTAACATCATGTCCTGGTTTAGCCAAGAAAACTTCTCCTTCTAAGTCTTCCTCCTGCACAAACTTGTCCGGTTGAAGAATCCTTCATGGCTGCCGAGACAGCCGCTCATCCGTCTCGGGAAAAAGGAGTCTAGCCGGCTGGGGAGGGGGGGGTGCGATGTCCCCAGACCCCTGCTCGAATCTCCTCTGTCTTCCGCTGCCCCTTCAGGGTAGCGACAACCCCCAAATCCAGTTGGATCGGGGGTACCTTGACGGCGAGCACAGCAGGGACCCGCAGAGAAGCGGATTCCTGCCGTCGACGAAGCCTTACAACCCGGAAGTGGACTGATTTGTTATTGCACAATGAACTCTATACATGACAGAGCAGACCTTTACCCTCCTTTGCTAATATGTCACTCCAACTCAAGGTCCAAGAGCAGCCAGATAGACAATCATCCTGTGATGCATCATTTCTGATATTCTTTCTATTCATTTCAAGGAAATAATTTCCAGCCTTTATTGGTTGACTTTTTGGTCATAACTCTTTCTTCTCTTGTGAACATAAGCACAAAGCTTATGTGATATTGTTAGGAATGATAGTCACCTAACAGTTGGATTGGAAATATATAAACCAGGATAGTAATTTAATACTGTATCTTTAAGAGAATGCTGTAAGTGTGATTGGCTGAGGTTCTTCCAACGGTCATAAGATGGAGCCAGAAACCTGGTTTCTTTCTCCTTGCATTTCCTGTTTTGCCGTATTGCCTGATTGTTGTTCTGCTTGGATTGCTGTGA